AAGGCGTTGGGAGGAGAGGCAAAGGCCGAGAGGGTGTTGGCAAAAGAGGTGCAACATGGGAGCCAGCGGGTGTCGGCAAAAGGGGTGATGTGTGAGGAGGATTAGCTGATGCAGGAATAGGTGGAGCATATATATATTATATGTATGTGTGTGGGTGTGTGTGGATGTGGGTGTGGGTGTGGGTGTGTGGGTGTGGGTGTGTATAGAACTACTACATACATATGAATGAACATCGTTAAGAGAACAGACAAAATATAAGGTGAAGATCTGAGGAAAAATGAACAGGAATGTATGTCCACCCTCCTTTCATAGCATGCAAGTGGGCCATTATGACACATGGGGGGGTGTGCAGCTCGCGCACAACCACAACCAACGTGGCAAGTAAAAGCGGAGCTGCAAGAGTAAAGATAGTAAAGAAAGGGATACAGTGGATCTATTTTGCTTCATGTTGTTTGCTATAGAGGTAAAACTGTTTCATTGTTGGATTGGCTCATCTTCAGTGTGCTTCATTGTCAATAAAGGTAAAGCTGCTTGGATTTTGGATCTTCTCATCTGGGTGGAACAGGGTTTGTTGTGGTGATAATCTACAACACACACTTGCACCTTGCTTGCTTGGTCTTCTCTCATGTTCCCAATTCTGATCTGTCTTGTTGGGCTTGCTTGGTTGTCTTTGTCCCTCAGGGTTTCGTTTCTGCTGTTCAGCATATGAGAACCTTTGTGCCAGCGCTTTATGACTTCACTGTGGCCGTACCGAAGACCTCAGAGTCCCCTACCATGTCCAGCCTTCTCAACGGCAAATCTGCGGAGGTGATGTATGATTGCCGATTCATCTCAGCGCCATGCAAAGCATGGTTCGGTTCTATTCAAACTTCAAAGGTTATGCTGATAGTTTCCCAGCATTGGCGGAGAAACTATGAATCATCAGTCTGCTCAGTGCTCTGAGTACGTTCTCTATCTCCATCTTTTTAAAATCAACGAACCAAAAAGAAGGGTCCTTCAGAAGGAAAAAAAACAGTAGTCAACAGTGGTATGTGAAATGTGACTGTGAGGTGATGCATGTTGTTTCTACCCAAGCCCGGAATCAGGCTTCACATGTTGTGGCAAGCTCAACTGCAACAATCTTGACACTACGAGACTGAGCCCTGCAGACTGATGCAGCTGGATTTCCACAGCTTTCACCTGTTTTTTGCGTCTTGCAGACCGATGCAGCTGGATTTCCACAGCTTTCACCTGCTTTTCTGTTTTTGTCACCTTCCGTGAAAGTCACATTTTCATTTTCTTAATGTGCTAGCTGGAAGTTTTGAACTGGAAGATTGCCGAAGCCCTTCGTTCTGTCCCTGCTGACTGCCATTCTGGCCCTTCAAATCCGTGGCAATTGATTGTGAAACGCCAGATTTTGTCAGTCGAAGCATAGAGCTCTGGGAGCTGTCAGCACAGCCTTCCCCCCTCCTCGGCCTTTTTCATCGATGTTCTCGGTGTGTCTCAATCGTACTTTTCTTTGGCCAATTTCTTTTCTCTTTTCCGAAAATTTGGACCATTTCTCAACTTATACAAGTGTCACCATTACCCAGGGGTTGTGCCAATCTTCTCTGTATCGTTCCAATTGTGTATTTTTCTCTTTAATTTGGACTGTTTCTCGATCTATGTGTGTCATCCTCGTGCAGGGGCCATGTTACTTCTCTGTATTGCTCCAATTTTAAAGGATGTGCAAGGAAAATGAGCAATAGCGAGATGACAATATTCAGATTGCACAATCACATTGAAAGCCAGATCGTATCCCAGTGTTCAGAAAGCAGCATTGCACCAATATGACACC